GGGGCCCTCCAGCCCCGGGCGCGGGCAGCTCCATCTGCGGCCAGCGTCTTCCTGGGAAGGCTCCTCTGAGGACGGGAGGCTGCACTTAAAGGCCACCGGCGCCTGCACCCCGCGTCCCCGGAGGGCCCGGGCTTCCACTTGGCCACAAGCCTGCCGCGCCCTGTGGTCGCTCATCTGCAGGTAGAGAGGGTCTCCGAGAGCCGCTGACCGACGAGAAGGGTGCGCACCGTGTGTGAAGACTGGCGGAGGTCACCGGGCGCACCCTCCCCAAGCTGGCGGACACTCTGCAGGAGGCAGGGGCCACGAATGGCCTCCCGCACCGTGTGCTGACAGCCCCGGGCCAGCCAGCAAACTTCCTCCCCGGCCCTGTCCTCTCTCACCCACATACCACGGGCCTGCGCCCCCAGAAAGCATCAGTCAGCAGAGTCCCCGGACCACGGCCCAGTGATCAGCAGGTCAGAGGCCGGGTCCCGTGACCCGGGGCCTCCAGCGCCGGCCTGCTGAGCACAGATGGCCTTGAGAGCAGGCCGAAAGGGGGGTGCCTGGGTCTGAACCCACACCCGCTGACTAGCTATGTGTCGTGGGGCGCAAATGAGCCTCTAAGCCTCAGTTTCCCGAGGGCAAAGCAGAGCTCTGAGGGCCCCAGCAAGCTGGCTCTGGAGGAGCAGCAGCTGGTCCGCTGTCACTCACCGGGGAGAGCCTGCCCCCCACCCGCCGGAGGTACTGCCCACACTGTCCTGGCCCCTGCAGCAAGTGGCCGAGCCCGGCCTGACACCACGGCCATCCTGGGAGCTGGCAGGCGGTGGCCACAGGCCCTGGCAGCTCTCGGGAAGACACCGGCTTCCTTGGCTCTGGAGACACCACTGAGGGGCCTGAAGCTGAGTCCAGGGGCCGCGTCCCCAGGACCATCAGACACACGCAGCTGACAGGCCGCTTGCCCAACGCAGGCGGCAGGGACAGAAGCTCGGGCCACCCAGCTGGGACCATGGCACGACCCCGCCACTCTCCCTAGGGAGGCCCGC